AATCATAATTATAATCATAATTATATCAAGATTATAATCAAGATTATAATCAAAATATCATAATTATAATCAAAATTATAATCATAATTATAATCAAAATTATAATCATAATTATAATCATAATTATAATCATAATTATAATCATAATTATAATCATAATTATAATCATAATTATAATCATAATTATAATCAAAATTATAATCAAAGTTATAATCATAATCATAATTATACTCAATTATAATCATAATAATTTAATATTTTTCTTTTTTCTCTAAGGTTATGTGGGTGATGGTCGTGGGTACAGCCCTCCCGGACCTGTTGCCCTGCCCCTGACGCCCTCACCAGACGCCCACGGTCGAGCCCTCACGCCCACGGAGAGCCTCAATGGGTTATCCCCCTGTGGGCTGGTATCCCTGGCCCCCTTGTGCCCACAGTACGACCCTAGGGGTGAGGAAGAACCAATCAACCTGACGACCAGGCCCACGGCTCTCTACGACCGTCCACCAGAGGACCTGACTACAGCCCATGCTATACTCGACCTGTCGACCGCAAGAGTAGCCGAATATTCACCTCCCCATACTCCACCATCCCCCCATGATTACCATTCGCTACCTCACCCATCGCCGCAGCCGCTACCGCAAGCGTACCATCTGCATAGCGGGGATAGCGGGGGTTTGGAACGACCAACGGAGCATGGTACACCGAAGCCATGTACGGTAGCTTATACGTACGAGGCTTTCTTCGTTAGCGATGGGAGATCGAAGCGACGAGGCGGCGAAGGTACGGAGAAGCCGCGGTACACGTGTTCTGAATGCGGTAAGCACTACGCGACCTCCTCCAATCTCTCGCGGCACAAACAGACGCATCGCGACCTCGACTCCGGCAACGCACGTCGCTGCCACGTCTGCGGGAAGGCGTACGTCAGCATGCCGGCACTTGCCATGCACGTGTTGACGCATAACCTGACGCATCGGTGCGGCGTGTGCGGCAAAGCGTTCTCTCGTCCCTGGTTGCTACAAGGCCACATGCGCTCACACACAGGAGAGAAGCCTTTCGGGTGCGCTCACTGCGGTAAGTCCTTCGCCGACCGATCCAATCTGCGCGCACACATGCAGACGCATTCCCAGCTCAAGAACTTCATGTGTAAACGCTGTAACAAGTCGTTCGCTCTCAAGTCGTACCTCAACAAACACTACGAGTCAGCGTGTTTCAAGGACATGCCTTTGCCTTCCACCTCTCCTGAGCCTTTGGAGGTGGACACGACCTAGCTGTGCCGCCCTCCAGGTCATCTGCCTGAACCGTACAAACCCACCGTCCCGACCCACGCCCACGCCCGCCGCCCAGTAATCTACTCCCGCGCGGCTCTGAAGGCTTAGCCAGGGCCTTGGTTCCCAACCAAACCAGGGAGGGTCCTGAAGAAATGGGCTTCAAGCACACAAGATCCCGTCGAAGATGCTCAGACGGCTTTTATTCTCGTCAAAACTTCTAAAAGTCACAAATTTCCAGCTAAAAGGCTCTAAGACGTCACAGATTACGTCACAGAGCCTTTAAAACCTCCCGATAGGGCTTAGCCTGGGAGGAAGAACTCAGGTTTGGTTAACAAAGTTGGTGACGGCGTCGCCTCTCTGTAAATGATCAAAAATTGCTGTTATTTAGATATTGTTGTCATCTTTATTCGACAGTCCAAAGTTGAGGGGATAAAGGTGAATTTTTAGATTCTCTCGGAAGATCAAAAGTATTGTAAATTTACCTGAGGACAGGGCGAGTAGGGTACTTCCAGAGGCACACAACTCACACCTCCGGGAGCAACCCACTTTTCAAACGCTCTGGCCACCGGGTTTTGCGAAGCTCCCCTGACGTCACAGTAACTCTTAGTGTAGGATGAATGAGACTATTTATTGCCTATTAATTGTTACTATTAAGGTTATTTTTTTGCGTTTCCAGCCGCCCTATTTGATGATATTTTCAAGGGTGCCCTGTTTCGTAAACAACGAATAACTTCAACGACCAAAGGGTCATGTAATTCCTGCATGTAAATAACTTTGTATAGACTATTGAATCTCTCTTAACTCCTTACGTACATTCTCATAAAGACGTTCCAAAACAGACAAAACTGAGCTGCATTTGGAGTTGACAAGTGTTTCTTAGTCTCGTAGGCTAGATTAAGATGATCCAATTCTATTAAGATACTGCATAGCGATAAGTATTTTTTTCAAATCTACATATACAAGCCAAATAATAGAGTATATTTGATCATAGCCTTAGAACGCTTTCAAAAGTCTTTCTAAGAAGTTAAGTTTCCTTTGGATTATTTCGGGTTGAGAGGGTTAGTACAGTCTGAGCTGACCAGGAGGAAGGACAGGAACACCACCGTCATCCTAGATGATATTCTTACTCAGCATTTTCGTTTTAAAGATATATCTCAAATTTTTAGCTTAATTCCCACAATTTTTGATCAAAAATCATATCATATATACATTTATATATAAACAAACTAAATAAAAACAGATTCGTAAAAAAAGTCAAACTACATTATATATATTATATATATTATATATAATTATATATATATATATATATTATATATATATATATATATATATATATATATATATCGTGTCCATAATAGTAAATTTATTTTTGGTATATCTAAGAATATTTTATAGGGTCGTGTTTCTGTGTTCCCTCTGGACTCTGAACTGTCTGCCACTACTCTGCCCTGTTAAGTGTGCTCTAGTCGAGTCGCCCGCGGCACATACTTAAATAGCAAATACTTATACTTAACTATAGTGATTAATATAGGACGGAGTCTGGTACATGGCAGTCTTGATGACGCCAGTGATCGAGGCAAATAATTGAAGTAATGGGTGGTGTTTTATGGCCTTAAATCCATTTTCCGTATTTATGGTTTCAAATAATCGATGTATCTTACAATTTTATGTCCTGTGTATCTCGGGTATTACAAACCGGTTTCGAATGCAATGTGAACCACAAAAGTTACAATTATCTGTACGAAAGGTAAATCCTAAGTGCTTAAGAGAGTTTTAGAAACGTGGAACCAAATAATGATCTCTGGAAAACTGGTTCAGTGTATAACACACGCGTGCACACACACACACACACACACACACACACACACACACACACACACGTTTTTATAACACACTGGCCGTCTCCAACGTAGGTAAGGTGTCTCTGAAAAGAAGAAACACCATCACCATTATTCATTCAAAGGCTGTCTTGCTAGAAGAGTGCTAATATCACAGGTTAGATGAATTTCCAAACTGAGAACTCCTCTACCCATCCTTCCGTCCACCCCATATTTATATACCCTCTTAGTTACCCTATTTTTCTATATTATTGCACAATTGCAACCAAATTCCACCAACTTTTGCAATTTCTCTTAAGAATCTCCCAAAACAAGAATGTTATTAAAAAAAACAGTAGCAACTTAACTAGGGGTATACATACACCTTGTGGGTATAGGTACCTAATAATGGGGTATAGAAACCACATAATGGGGGTATGGAACTATTGTGTTGCTGGCTATCCATTTGTAAAGTAAAACAAAGCTTTTGACATCTTTTGACATCTTTTGAAGTCATCACTTTGTATCAAATTCTTTATCTTTCAATCCCACACCTCTCAACACCTCAGCATTCACTTCTCTTAAAATTCCATGTAAAACTCTTAAAACTCCCAGTAAAAGTAGGCCTAAGGCCACCTTTTACTGGGAAATCTCCCTCTCTCCTACATACTCTCACCTGAGCCACAAATATCTTCATACACATTCTTCACTGCTTCAGTAACCTACTACATAGTTCATGCATTTGCAACATCTGCCACATTGTTCCCCATCCACCCTGTCATATACCTCATCTAAATTTATACAGCAAAAATTTCTTCACAATTATCTAAGTATTGTTCACTTATATCCTTCACTGTAAAAACTTGGTCTACATGCTCCCTAACCTATCTAAATCCTCCTTGCTCAACTGCGATCCTGTTCTCTTTCTTACTCTTAATTCTTTCCATAATTCTATCATATCCAACATCTTATTTCCCTATAATTTTTACTCTCTCTTATCCTCATTTTCTTTAATGCAGAGGAACTATGCATTCTCTCTCACTCTTTCATGCGTATGTTGAACAAATTCTCCAAAACTATAATCCCACATCCTTTAATTTTTTTTTGTCTTCATCCCATTAATCCCAGCTGCTTTAACACCTTATATTCTTTCCACAGCTTCACGCACCTTCCCCACACTCGCATCCGGGTCTTCCTCACTCCTAAAAGGTGTTATACCTCCCTGCCCAATGTACAAAATCACTGCCTCTCTCTTAATCAACAATTAACGGCTCCTCAAATTATTCCCTCCCTTTTCCTAATACCTCCAACTCCCCATCTTTGTTTTTAGTGTTATATTCATTCTTCTCTTTATCTTTCGAAAATTTGTAACCTAATGTGAATATTTCTCATTTTCAACAAAATATGTTGATTAAAACCTCACTCATCTCTCCATGGCTCTTGTTTTACACCTCCTGGAAGCCCAGAAGCCTTCAGAGTTTTAACTGAAGCCAATTTGCTTACGCCACAGAGGTTATGGTACCCTAACACCACAAGAGATCTATTTATACATACATATATATACATTAGAGGCACTTACACACACACACACATTAAAAGAAAGTTCTCTCTCACACTTGACTCTCTCTCCCTTACCTCTTCTGTAATGGCTATTGCGTATCTCACCATCCTCAGTGAGGGATCAACCTGATACTCTAATAGCCTCATTAAGCTGTGACAAGATGTATATGACAATTACCAGACTGTCGCGTTCCAAGCGAACCCTCTCTCAGTCTGCAGGAGAGAGAGAGAGAGAGAGAGAGAGAGAGAGAGAGAGAGTGCTTCTCTACGCTATCAATTTTGATTTCACTCCCTCCTTTCTTTTCTCTTTCCATTCTCTTCAAAACAAGAGGTGAAGGGAGGAACTGCATCTTCCACCAGATAACAGAAACATGCTTCCCTAGATAGCAAAATCATGCAGTAGATAGCAATATCATCCACTAGATAGCAACATCTCCACTAGACACCAGCATCTCCCACTAGACATCAGCATCTCCCACTAGACATCAGCATCTCCCACTAGACACCAGCATCTCCCACTAGACACCAGCATCTCCCACTAGACACCAGCATCTCCCACTAGACACCAGCATCTCCCACTAGACACCAGCATCTCCCACTAGACACCAGCATCCCCCACTAGACACCAGCATCTCCCACTAGACACCAGCATCTCCCACTAGACACCAGCATCTCCTACTAGCACCAGCATCTCCCACTAGACACCAGCATCTCCCACTAGACACCAGCATCTCCCCACTAGACACCAGCATCCCCCCACTAGACACCAGCATCTCCCACTAGACACCAGCATCCCCCACTAGACACCAGCATCCCCCACTAGACACCAGCATCCCCCCACTAGACATCAGCATCTCCCACTAGACACCAGCATCCCCCACTAGACATCGCATCCCACTAGACACCAGCATCTCCCACTAGACACCAGCATCCCCCACTAGACATCAGCATCCCCCACTAGACACCAGCATCTCCCACGAGACACCAGCATCTCCCACTAGACACCAGCATCCCCCCACTAGACACCAGCATCTCCCACGAGACACCAGCATCTCCCACTAGACACCAGCATCCCCCCACTAGACACCAGCATCCCCCACTAGACACCAGCATCTCCCACTAGACACCAGCATCTCCCACTAGACACCAGCATCCCCCACTAGACATCAGCATCCCCCACTAGACACCAGCATCCCCCACTAGACACCAGCATCCCCACTAGACATCAGCATTCCCCACTAGACACCAGCATCCCCCACTAGACATCAGCATCCCCCACTAGACACCAGCATCTCCACTAGACACCAGCATCCCCCACTAGACATCAGCATCCCCCACTAGACACCAGCATCTCCCACTAGACACCAGCATCCCCCACTAGACATCAGCATCCCCCACTAGACACCAGCATCCCCCACTAGACACCAGCATCCCCACTAGACATCAGCATCCCCCACTAGACACCAGCATCTCCCACTAGACATCAGCATCCCCCACTAGACACCAGCATCCCCCACTAGACACCAGCATCCCCCACTAGACATCAGCATCTCCCACTAGACACCAGCATCCCCCACTAGACATCAGCATCCCCCACTAGACACCAGCATCTCCCACTAGACACCAGCATCCCCCACTAGACATCAGCATCTCCCACTAGACACCAGCATCCCCCACTAGACATCAGCATCCCCACTAGACATCAGCATCCCCCACTAGACACCAGCATCTCCCACTAGACACCAGCATCCCCCACTAGACACCAGCATTTCCCCACTAGACACCAGCATCTCCCACTAGACACCAGCATCCCCCACTAGACATCAGCATCTCCCACTAGACACCAGCATCCTCCCACTAGACACCAGCATCCCCCACTAGACATCAGCATCCCCCACTAGACACCAGCATCTCCCACTAGACACCAGCATCCCCCACTAGACATCAGCATCCCCCACTAGACACCAGCATCTCCCACTAGACACCAGCATCCCCCACTAGACACCAGCATTCCCACTAGACACCAGCATCCCCACTAGACACCAGAATCCCCCACTAGACACCAGAATCCCCCACTAGACACCAGCATCTCCCACTAGACACCAGCATCTCCCACTAGACACCAGCATCCCCCACTAGACACCAGCATCTCCCACTAGACACCAGCATCCCCCACTAGACACCAGAATCCCCCACTAGACACCAGCATCCCCCACTAGACACCAGAATCCCCCACTAGACACCAGCGTCTCCCACTAGACACCAGCATCCCCCACTAGACACCAGCATCTCCCACTAGACATCAGCATCCCCCACTAGACACCAGCATCCCCCACTAGACGCCAGCATTTCCCACTAGACACCAGCATCCCCACTAGACACCAGAATCCCCACTAGACACCAGCATCCCTCACTAGACACCAGCATCTCCCACTAGACACCAGCATCCCCAACTAGACACCAGCATCCAACCACTAGACACCAGCATCCCCCACTAGACACCAGAATCCCCTAGACACCAGCATCCCCCACTAGACACCAGCATCCCCCACTAGACACCAGCATCTCAACTAGACACCAACATCCCCCACTAGACACCAGCATCCCCACTAGACACCAGCATCTCCCACTAGACACCAGCATCCCAACTAACACCAGATCCCCAACTAGACACCAGCATCTCCCAGTTGACACCAGCATCTCCCACTAGACACCAGCATCCCCAACTAGACCCAGCATCCCCACTAGACACCAGCATCCCCAACTAGACACCAGCATCTCCCATAGACACCACATCCCCCACTAGACACCAGCATCTCCCACTAGACACCAGCATCCCCCACTAGACACCA